ATGTAAAATATCTCATTGATAATTTTGGGTCTTGATCACATATTGAAATGATAGTGTTTCAGATATATCAGGTTAAATAAAATATATAATTAAAATTAATTTCACCTGTTTCTTTACTTTTTTTCACTGTGGCTACTAGAAAATGTTTATTTAGGGAGCTCACGTTATGCATCTACGGGACAGCATTGGTCTGGAGGGTGGACCAACAGACAGACCACGGACCCATTGATCAAATATGGGGTGATAAGCCTCCTGGTGAAAGTTATGGCCACAGAAGGATAGCCTCTTCCCACAGTTTGAGGCCCCTGTCTGGTCCCTTTCTCTAGCATGAGGGTTAAGAGTGAGGTCTCTGGAACAAATCTCAGAGGTACGATGTCTCTCTGGGCCTTGGTTTTTCAATCTGTAAAATGGGAATCATGACATTGGCTGCCTCACAAGAAAGGCTGTTAGGAGACCGAAAGAGTGAAAACCCTCACAAAGCCCTCGGAACGGGGCTGGTGCATGGCCCATGTTCAGGAAGGTCGTAATTATTATCATTCTTTACCCTGACCCCACCCTTCTGGGCACCTAAGCTCTGGGCTCAAGAGGACTCACAAAAATTAGAGGAGGAGGAAGGAAGGATAACCATGCAAACCCTTACTCAGCAAAGAGCCTGGTCTGGCCCTGCCCCCAGCATCACCCACTGCACCCATTTCACAGATTCATAGCTCTGAGAGCCTTTGTGCCCAGAAGGGCCGAGCTAGGGAGCAACACGTGTGGGACTTGAACTCAGGGCTGCGTGCCTGTGGGCTGTGTGGCCCTGGGCATTTTTGCCGGCAGTGACAGGGTCTTCTGGGCCCTGGTTCCCGACCCGGCATGCACCTGGTGCCCCCTGTGAATAGCTGGCCTCATCTCTCTCACACTCTGGACCTCCCTGATCCAGGCCTCAAGGCCAGGGCCTTCACCCTTGCTTTGGCATTTGATGCCACTGATGGTCCGCCAGGTCCCTCTCTCAATTCCCCAGAGCCTTCTTCCAGCAACCTGGGCTGCTCGGTTCTTTCCAAGTGGGTCCTGGCTCGTCCCACTTCCTGGCCCCTACAGGACTACTAGGCACACATCCCACCTCCGCACTCCCCAGCCCCTAGAGAGCAAATGGGAACCGAAACACACCTTCCCTTCATTTTCCAAGCCAGCGTCCCTGGGTCCCTTGCAGGGGGTGTTGGGGCAAGGGGAAGGGGGGCTGTGAGAATCTTTTTCTAATTCTCACCAAGGCGCTTTATCTACTGGCGGTGGCCCAAAAACCCCTCCTCTCTGCCTGCCCAAATTCCAGAGGGCCAATGTCTTATTATTTGTTTATTGCTTAAAACCTTTTTATTAGCGCTCCCCTTCCCCTTGGAAAAAGCAGCTCTGTGGCTGGCAGGGCTGTAAACATTAAAATCATTTGAGTGGCTTGGCCCTCCTCCAGCAAGGAGGGGCTGGGGATATAAACTGGGGCAGGTGACCTCAGCCATAAAGAGGCCAAGATCAGAAAAGGCCTGCACGTGGACTTCAAGATCAAAGGGAGAGGAGGAGCAGTCACCACAGGGCCAAATACCAGCTTGGCTTCTTCTGGCCTTGAGCCGCTCCAGAAGGGGCTGGTCAAGGTGCAGCCTAGCACACAGGCTATTCCAGGAAATACAGAGAAGTACCTACTAAGCCTCCTGTCTGGGCAGGGGCTACCTCCCGAATCCTGCCTCTCCCTCATCTTGCTCATCCTCTAATTCTTTTTACACCTGCCCATCCCGTTCAGGGTGTGAGAAAGTCAGGCTGCCTCCTTCAAATCCTGGCTCCACCTTACTTGGCAGCTGTGTGACCTTGGGCAAGTCACTCAACCTCTCTGGGCCTCAGTTAACTTCCATCATAGGCGGGATAATATTTCATCTCAAATGGTTGTTGTGAAGATTGAATGAGGTCATACGTGGACAGCACTCAGCACAGTGAGTACTTAAAAAAATTCTATAGGGATTCATGTCCCTTGGGCTTGTCTCATCCTTGGCTCCACCGCCTGTAAACTGACCGTAACTGTCCTTGTCCTGCCTACCTCCTGTTTCTAACTTTTTCCTCTGAACATTTTGATTTTGCCCTTTGTTATCCTCTTTTAGTCCACTGCATACATACAAAGTACATAGAACACATATAAAATTCATAAAGCGTAATTGACAACAAACCCCATGCAGTAGAACATTCTGTGCAGTGTGTCTTGCTGGTGTCTCTGGGCTTCTCCTTATCTCCCGGGCCTCCTCTCCACAACCATTTTCCCGAATTAAATCCTTGTCAGTTGCTTGTTTTGGGAGGGGGGGAGGACGACGACAGTTTTATCATATAGGCTTGTACCCTCAAAACAATATATTGCTTAGCTTTTCTTATTGGGGAAGGATAGAGTCTGAGAATTGCTTCTTACACTTGACATTAAGAGTCACCCATGTCACTGTTGTGTAATAATGGTCCCCATGGGAATTTTCCACTGCTTATATGGTGCCCTCGGATCCACACAGCCTCTCATTTCCTCCCAAGAGCAGGCTGTCCTTTTTGCCCCTCCTGTCTCCCCTCCCTGCCTGACCTGCCCTTCCTCACCTGTTTTGTCATCCTGACTAATATTTCTGCAAGCTCCAGCTCAAAGGTTGCCTTATCTCACTCCCATTCATTCCTTGACATCATTCTCAGAGACAATCATTGCCCACCCCCACCCCGAGCCAAGGACTGCAGAGGTGGTCCCCTCGCTGTCCCTATCTGTGAACAGGTCAGCATTTGGGTGTCACAGGGCAGGTTTGAAGCTAGAAGTGTGATTAGGGACCTACCTGTGGTGGCTAAAAATCTTAAAATGTGTGAAAAGGAGTTTGCCACATGAAGGAGTGAGGTCCTCCCAGGCAAAGAAAACTTCAGGCACAAAAGCCTGAAGATGTATGACCCAGGCTGTGGGGGGACGTGGAAGCGGCCAGGTGGGGCCCAGGCAGCCAGGAGGGTGGGAGCAGAGCAGCAAACCCACAGAAGAAGCAAGGCCAACAGGGGGACCCCGGTCCTTATCTCCCATTTTAAACCAGAGCAGCTCCTTTTTGATCTCTATGATGTAGTTCTACTTAGGAGTAAGATTTCTCTTGGACAAAGGTATCAGGGTCTTAAAAACATTTTGGAAACCATTGCTGTGAGTGCTAGGGAACCCTGGAAGGGACTTGAGCTGAGGATGGCCAGGGGTAGATTTGGAGATTAGAAAAGATTTCTCTGGGAATCCCTGCAGAGGGAACTGAATATGCAAAGGTACTGGGGCAGGGAATAGAGAGGTGTGGCCAGGGAATTTGAAGTCATGGCATAGACGGAATGCAGGCGATCGAGGAGATTGAGCTGGGAGCCCAGACTGCCAGGGCCTGGAGTCACCTTGCGACTGGGAGGAGAGGAGGGGCAGCTCTGGGAAGGACCAGAGGCAGGGAGGTTAGGACAAGGCTCTCGGGGCAAACATGAGGCATGAGCTGGGGCCATTGGAATGGAGATAGTCAGGTCATAGGAGAGTGGGGTTGGGGAGTGACAGGCTGTAAGAGGGACAAGGACAATGCCTGGGTGTCTGACCTGGTGTCTGAGATGGCAGCCCAGGAGGAAGAGTCATTCTGGGGGAGCCGCTGAATTCAGTGAGGATGTAATATATCTCAGGGGCCCGGGAGGGGGCCCCAGAAGGGATGTTAAGGACCTTCATGAGAGTCATCCTTCTGGGTCCAGAGATTCCAGAAGCTCATGGAAAAGAAAGTTTAAGGTCCTAAGGCCACCACCCAGGGGGCTGCAAACATTCGGGTCTAGACATATCTTACAGGTGAGGGCTATTTTCCTCCATTTTTCAGGTGAGGAAACTGAGGCTGAAGACTTCCTAAAGGTGGGGAACCAAAAAAACTGCAGAACCCAGAAAGCCTGGAGAAGAGAATCCTGGGGCCTTCCTCAAGCCACTCTGGTGGCCACTCTCAGAATCCTGGTGGCCACTCTCAGCCCGAGAGGCCCAGAGACACTGTGAGGCTTGTCTATGTCACACAGCAATCAGAATTCAGCTGCTGCAGTCTTTGGAGTCTGGGGCACCAGGGAAGCCTCTCCATGTCCCAGCTCCTAGGTGAGGAAGGGGAGGGGAGGGCCCAAAACAGTACAGCTTTGCTGTGTGATCTTGGGCAGGCTGCCTGCCCTCTCTGAGCCTCCTCATGCTCATTTGTAAAATGGAGCCACAGGGAGAGGGTATCACCTAGGCTGTTGAGGAGAGGAGAAAGCACAGACTTTATGATCAGATGGACTGGGTTCCAATTTGCATCTGGCAGCATGATCATGGTCACTTTGCCTCTCAGCCTCAGTATCCCCATCTGGAAAGCAGGTACTATAAAAGTGTCTGATATCCTCAGGAACAAAGGAGTCACACTCAAAAGAAGGGGAGTGCTCTGTCCCTACCTCTCCTATGAAGGCCAAGGAGTCAGGGTCCACCTTCCTGACCCCCAACTCCCTGGGACACAGCCTCGGGCTTTGGAACTCAGCTGCATCCTGAACCCCACCCACCTATGTTCTCCCATCCTCCCCCAAATACAACTGGTAGCATATTCTGAGCCCCTGTGAGGGAAATCACTCCCATTTGAGGGCTTTCTGGGGTGTCCAGGGAGGAAAGGAGTACAATAGCCCTCTCACGTTTCCTGAACAACTACTACACGCCAAGCCCCCTGCTCTCATCCAGTCCTACATCAGGGAGACAAATGGTTTATGGGCCCCTTTGACAGACAGAGAAACTGAGGCCCCAAGAGGGACATGGACACCCCAGGCATCCCAACTGGTGACTCAGGACAGCTCTAGTCACCTACTCCCTTCCAGGAGGGACCTGCACTCCAAGGTGGACAAGCCAGCCCAGCCCAGCTAGCCGAGTCCGGGCTATGTCTGAGGCTGCAGGGGGCCAAGGGCCAGCTTTACAGAGGACCCTGACTCTTCCCTCAGGCCACCTCCTCCAGGGGTGTCTTGTGGCTGGGCCTCACCTGATTTCTGAGATGTTGTTCTCGTAGGTGTCCCACAGGGCCCGGCTCCGGGGCTCGGCGGGCCCGTCCATGGCAAGCGGGCGAGGGTAGGGAGGGGAGGACGCGCAGGGAGCAGGCGGCACGGGGACCAGGTATGTGCAGCAGCAGCGTCTGCCACCCGGAGAGCCCGCCAGGTGCCTACCTCCACGCCCAAGGGGAGGGGCAGAACCCAGCCGGTTCTCCCAGCTGCTACCCACGCCTCCAACAGCGGGGAGAGGCCGAGAGGGAGCCACCCTTCTCCAAGGGTGCGGAGGAGGGGTGATGAGCACGTCCTGGGCATCCTGTGAATGCATGGGGCAGAGTGCAGGGGTTCAGGGTCAACCCTGCACCGGAACCTTCCAGGCTCCTGGCTATACGCATGTTTGTGCCCACCTGGAGCCTGAGTTGTTAGTCTAAGGAGCTAATCCCATCTCAGAGAGTTTGTTCATTCATTCGTTCATTCATTCATTCATTCATTCATTCACGCATTCATTCATTCCTTTATTCATTCAAGAAATATTTATTGAGAGCCTCCCGTCTGCCATGCACTGTTCTAAGTGCTGGGACACTGCTGGGAACCAGACAAACAGAAACTGCCCTTGTGGGCTGACACTGTAAGGGGCACATGTAGAAACCCCCTGAGAGAGAGACCAAGGCGGAGACAGAAACGCCCAGACAGAGACAGTGAGAGACATGGAGAGATGAAGAGAGAATAGAGACAGAGATATGCAGAGGGTCAGAGATAGAGAGACAGAGGCACTTTGAGAGGGTCAGAGACAGTGAGAGACCCAGAGAGACCCAGAGATGCAACAGATAACCGCCAGACATGGTTGGTGTGGGAGTTTGAAGGTCACAGTGCCTGGTTTGATCTCAGCCCCAGTACCTCTCAGCTGTGGCTCCTGGAACCAGTCCCATCAGCCCTCTGTGCCTCGGCTTCCCCACCTGTAAGTGGTACTCATGTCATCGGGCTGTTGTGACGACTGGGCGAGACATTTCTCAAGTGGTAAGCTCAGTAAAGCCAGCATCCTCTTCAGCTCTATCCCGCCAAGCCCGCTGGTCTCCTGACCCTCATAGACTGGAGTCTGGCCACAAAGCCCAACCTCCTCACCAGAAGTGACTTCTTTCTATAGGACAAAAAAACTGTGTGTACTTTGTTCAAAAATATACATGAACAGATAAGTCTAGAAATAAAATAAGGATCCCTGTGATCCTCCTATCCACGGAGGTAACCACCATTAACATTTTGGTGGAATCTTTCTAGAAATTTCTCCTAATTTTTCTAGTATGTTGTGCCAGGGAAATTTTGGTTGGACGAATAAATACAAAAATATCACCAATTAAAATTCTATTTCCTGACCAATTATAGCTTGCCATGTGCTGTTGTGTAGGGGAGAGGAATGGGGCTTGTCAGACTCATGTAACAGATGCGGAAGGGGGGCTCAGAGAGGTGGGGTGACTTGCCCAGGTCACACAGCATTGCCCACCCTCACTCTGGGGTGTGGGGTGGGCAGAAGACAGACATCCTAGTGTGTGACATTCCCTCAGTTCATCTGCCCAAAGGCCCATCTCTAGGATGCTGTGCTGTGGGGAGCCTCCCCCCACCCCCTATCCCGCCACAGTTGAGTTTGAATCTTGCCTTGGCTTATTTCAGTATTTACCTCGATGTTCCTACCTGTGAAAGGGGCTCCCTTGCAGGGAGGGGGGACAATGAAGAGGGCCAACTCTTCCTCTCTGGGGCTGAGTGGACTTCCTTGATGTCAGGATGTCAGGATGTCAGGGTGCTGAGTGGAGACACCTCACCTGTCTGTGGGGCCTGGGCCTCCTTGCCCTTGTTCTGCCTTCAAAGACCCTTTGTTTCTGGCTCTAAGAAGGTGACAGCCCTGTCCTATCCCTTGCATGGGAACTTCCCCTGAACCCTGTCACCAGGCCCCTCACAAAGTTTCAGGAACCAGAGGACGGGGACACTGTGCCAGCCAGAAGCCTCAAGTGCCAGAAGGGAGGGAGAGTCTGGGGGGAACAGAATGCCCAAGTCCCTGAGGGAGATGGGAAAGAAAACATAGGGGGCAATCCTGGGGGACAAAGAAGACCAAGAAAGCTCTGTGAGAGTGTAGAGAAGATGTTGAAGGGAGAAGGCAGACCTGGAGGCTATGTCTGAGTGGGACAGGACCAGCCAAACAAGGGGACCCAGGGACCCAGGGACCCAGGAAATGTTCCCACCTCAGGCCTTTGCACCTGCTGTTCCTTGTCTGACATGCTCTTCCCCAGACACCTGGGAGCTTCACCACTCCCTTCATCCAAGTCTACCCTGTCACACCTCCTCTGAGTCCCCACACCAGCGTCTCTATCCCCCTCTTTTGTTTTACTTTTCTCCATAGCACTCATCACCATCCGACACTAGATACTCTACATGTTTTCCTTCTTGGTCTTGTTGGCTGTTGGTCTCCTCATCAGACTGTCAACCCCATGAAGACGGGGCTTATGATATGTTTGTCCCTTGTTGGATCCTGAGGGATGTGCCTGGAGAGTTTCCAGAAAGCAGTACGTGTTCAATACATGCTGTTGATGGAATGAACGAATCATCACAGGGTGATGGGGAATGAGTGGCTGGATCACTGTGGTGTGCGGAGGAGTCAGTTAAATCTTTTCAGAAAATGGGGGTGGGGATGGGGAGATGCAAGGCCTGGTTGTAGAGGGCAAGGGGCCCAGACTCCTAAGGAGGTGGCAAGAAGAACCAGAAGATACCAGAGTAGCATCTGACCCAATGACAGGACAGGAGAGACAGTAATGGGGACCACTGATCCCGCAGAAATGGATCTGGGGGCTTAAGCACCTGGGAGACAAGGAAGAGACTTGGAGGGGGATGGGAAGAAGAAAGTGGGAAACCCAATGCCAGCCGGTGGGGGTATTGGTAGGAGCAGTACCATCCCTCTATCATCCATCATCCATCCATCCATCTATCATCCATCCATCCATCCATCCATTTCATCCATCCTACCTCCCTTCCGTCCTTCCTTCCTTCCATCCATCCTTCCCTTCGACTAATATCTGGGGAGGCCTCCTCTGGGTCAGGATCTATTGTATCTCCAAATGAGACAGTTAAGTAAACACAATTTAGAACACAGGAGCCTCTGGCCACACGTGGCTATTTAGCATTAGAAATTTGGTTCATGTGATCGAGGGAGTGAACGTTTCCAATTTTACTTAACTTTTATTTATTTCAAGTTAACTTTAAAATCACAAACAGTATAAAATATTTCACTCAATGCACGTTAATGCTTTGGTACGACTACATTTCAATTTCACTCTTGGAAACTGAATGTCGGAATTGAGATAAAGCATGTAAAGTATCTCACGAGTAATTTTTATATTGATTACATATTGAAATGATGATATTTTGGATATATTGGGTTAAACAAAACATATTCCTAAAATTAGTCTTACATGTTTCTCTTTACTTTTTAAAAAAAAAACTGTGCCACTGGAAGGTTGAAGATGACACGTGTGGCTAAGTACTAGTTGAATTGACCCTGCTGACCTGGATCTGCTTGGTGTCCTGCCTGTAAACATGGGGACTCTTTGGGAGGTCACAGCAAGGATGCCCCAGAAGAGGAAACTCAACAGGTGGGGGACCTGAGTGGAGAAAGCCTCCAGGAGGGCCTGGTGTATGCTAAGGCCTAGAGGCTGGAGAGACAGCAAGGCTGTATTTGCTCCAGGCCAAAGGGGACGCACCTGGAGATAGGGGGTTATTCTTGGGTCCTGGGGTGGGAGCTCACACCCACCCCTGGGGGCTTAAAGGTAGCAGGGTACAGTGCCAGGTAAGGATGGGAGCTGGGCTGCCCTCTGCCCTAGTAAGCCCCCAGGAAGATGAACACATCACCTGTATGTGCTGCTGACCATGAGGGGGTCCCACTTGCACTTCAAACTTCAGGGGCTGAATGTGAAATAGGAGCAGGAGGTGGTCCCCCTGGCCAGAACGGAGAGCTCTCAGGCATACCCCTCTGCCTCGGGCCCCCCATATCAATACTTCGGCCTCTCTCCAGGCCCCCATCTGGGCCCCGGGAAACCCCGGAAATGCTATTTTGCTCTTGGAGACCAGACATGGGCAATGGGAGGTCACTGGGTCACGAGGTCATGCTTGCACAGAATTGGGGCCATTGTCACCTCCAGAGCCCGACCTTTCCATTAAAAGCTAAAAATTGCCAGGAATTCTGGGAGAGCTGAGGACGGGCCAGCTCTGGCTGCTTAGAGGTTGGGTTCCCAAGAGGGCAGAGGCTGGGGGCAGGGCTCCTAAATCCTGGAGTCTGGAACAAGGAATCTGAATGGAGTGGAAAGGGATCCAGTGTTGGTCTGAGGGAGGAGGGGCTGGGGGCTTGGACTCCTGGGTCTGAGGCAGGAGGCAGCTGGGGGCCCAGACTCCTGGGACCTGGGGAAGAAGGGGGTAGGGGCCAGGATTCCTGTGACCCAGACAAAGACGAAACTGGAACACCTAGATACCTGGACCTGGGGAAGGAGTGGGTCATGGGTGGGGGGTGCCAGTGTCCCCAAGGTTATGGAGGGCCCCTCTGAGAAGAAAACAAAGACATGGTGCTGGGTGGGGTGGGAGGAGGGCAGTTGACACCTCAAAGCCGGCATGACTCCCCTCCCCCAACCTTCTCCTCTAATCAGTGGGTCCATCTTGGGGTGTGCAGCGTTGTAGAAACCTCCTTCTCTGCTCTCCACCCCGATTACTCCATCCCCATGGATGAGCCTGCCCCAGGGCCGATACCATAGCCCAGCCCCACCCCACACACTCACACGACCTGTCCCACCCACCCTGCTCCGGAGCTGGGTTGGGGATGGGCTAGAGGTCTGGTGGGGCAGGCCACACCTGGTCTCCTCTGCAGGAATTGAAGACTGCGGACCCTGACGCCGGAGTGCTGGAGGTAGACAACCACGGGTGGGGGGGAGGCATGCTCAGGGGAACAGAGGTTCTGAGAACCTGGGTCTTCACTAGCCGCCTGGGTCACAAAAGGAGAAGAGGGGTGTGGAAGGGGTGCAGTTACACAGAGATCAGGGATCCCAAGAGGTCAAGCCTGGTGGTGACAATGTGTGAGGGAAC